TAAAATGAGCACCGGTGCTCATTAGATCATTTCTGTATATATATATATATATGAAAAAATTGTAAAATTTGTTCACTTTTATATAGATGGTGTTTAGTGGGAATTGAAATTAGATTTTTAGTATATTGTAATAGAAGTTTTTGAAATGTATGGTTGAAAAGCTGTGGGACCCATAAAAGATGTGGTTAATATTGATTGTTTGACTTTGATTTAAATTAAAATCAGATTTTAATCCAAAACAAAGAGATCATAGTCATTTGTAAAAATGTCCAAAAAATTTTCAATGTCCATTTTACTATAATTTAAACCAAAATATCCTCATTAGCAATTTTAAATTCCACGATGAGGACAAAATTATTTATATAATTAAAAATTATATTAACCAATGATAACTTAACACATAATCCATATTACTTATTTTAAAAAGTATCATGTCAATCATGTATTAAATGATCACTTCTTCCTGTAAGTGTGTAAATAAAACACTTATGAAATGTCGAAAACTATACTTAACCCCTGTTTGGTACACATTATTTTTTTTTATTCTCATTCTTCTACTCATTTTCAACCACACATTCTTCAATAAAATAATATTTTCTATCACATCAATAACTTTTTCTTCATTTTTAAACACACATTCTCCATCAATCTACTATTCAATAATACATTCTTTTAAAAGAATGTGTACCAAACACACTCTTAAAATGTCAGAACATTATGAAATGTAAAGAACTTTCATGTTCAGAACGAAATCTCGCTTTAGATAAACGAAGTTTCAAGTGTCAAAATAAACAGTGTCCAAATGTTGTAACGACTTTTAAAATGTCGAGAACGTCATGAAATGTCAAAAATAATAACTATTAAACACGACTTATCAACAAAAATAAGATTTCAAAGAAAATTATCTTCACCGAGAATTGTGGAAAGCCTAATCAACTCGCAAATTTGGATGAGATTAATTTTTCGAAATGACATTATATGATTTTCTTATAAATTGGAAGCATATGGTTATTTTTTAGTGTTGGTAGTTTTTTTTACTTCATATTCTTCATTTTTTTTCCAAAATCCTTAGTCAATACCTAGGGGGTGTTTGTTTCTGATTTTGAGAATTAATTCTCATTTTCAACCACACATTCTTCAATAAAATAGTATTTTTCATCAAATCAATTCTCATTTTCAATAAAATAGTATTTTTCATCACATCAATAATTTTTTTCTTCTTTCTCAACCACACATTTCCCATCATATCACTATTCAAAATCAATTCTTCCCCTAAAAATCCCTACCAAACAAGCACTTAATAGATAATGAAAGCAAATGAATCTATTAGGTTTTAGCTAGCATTAATGTAACTTCTAGTGGAAGCTACTTGTTCTTCTTAAAATTCGTGACAAATTGAAATAAAAATTGCTTCATTTTTTATTCAGAGTATAATAGACAATTTTGTATCAAATTTGGCCATTTTTGCAATAGTTATCAAAATTAGACACTTTTCAATAAACAAATATGTAATTGGACATTTTGTAAATTCCCCTATATATATGTATAGGGATGTTTGATGGTCATTATTGTGTAAAAACAATATTTTGAATAGTGATTTTTTTGGATAATTTATGACTAAAAAATGAGGAAAAGATTTGAATTTACATACAAAATTTTGATTGTGTAGTTGCAAATGAGTATTATAAATAAATTATTTTGTTTAAAGGGAGACAAACTGGGACCATCAAAAT